TCAGTCCCCTTAATTTAATTAATCTCTTTTAGCCACAAAATTAAATCTTAATTAATTCTTGACTAATATTGATTAAACAATATGATTTCTCATTTAATATATTATTCTTATAATATATTAATAAATCATAATTAAACCTTTCTCTCCTTAATTCATCCTACATATTGCTATGATGAAGGCAACCCAAAAGGACCATGCTCATAATCGGGTCAAGTACATACCAAAATAGTTATGGACTTAGACACTAATCCAACAGAAGCTTGTAGTGCCAAACAAGGCTTTCTGTTCAAAACGGAGCGTTTTGTCAAACGTTAGGAGCTAGAAGCTCTCAAACGCTCCTAAACGCTTCGTGCCGAACACGCCCTAAATCATCAAATTCAATTGTGAAATTGTGTCCAGTTCAATCTCTATTCCCTATGATTATGTGTTCTCAATCATGAAAGCGTGTCTTGTTCATTTGGCTATGTCTTCAGTCGTTCCAATTAGGGTTATGGAATCGAATTCAATGGTTCCAATTAGGGTTATGGAGTCGAATTCAATCGAGTCTATGAAAATTCGAATTCACAACTACAAAGATTCAATTGAGTGTTTTAAATTGATTTAATTTCCGGAATTGATTTCCAGATAGAGGTGAAATTTAGAAATGTATTTCACATGTTTGTGGGCTAATCAGTTCTCCAGTGGTGTTGCGATGACCGAAAATACGATATGGCGTGACCGAAAATAAGATGTGGTTGTCGGGGGTGATGATACGGTATCGGCCACAAGTTGATGTCATAGGTGATTGTGTGGCCGATGAGATGAGAAAAGAGAAAGAGGTAGCATGTGAAAAAAAAGATAGGGGTGAATTGTGGTGGGTCCCATCTAAATTATTATTATTATTATTAAAAAAATAAAACAACAATGAAAAACTAAAAAAATATGTATATAAGGGTATAATTATAATAGTCATTTCATGTCTGCTAGTAGGGGTGAACATCGGAACAGGGTACCCGCTTTCAGAACCGGAACCGCCTCGGAACTGCCAGTTCCGGTTCCGGTTCCTAAATTTTTGGAACAAACTTAAGCGGTTCCGGTTTCGGTTCTCATTTTTTTGGAACCGCTACCCGCCGGGCACCCATCATAACCGATTATAT